AGCATACCTCGGCTTTCGAAACTACGTCACATTATTTGGTAATGAGGTCTCTTCATTCCTAATAGTTTACTAATAAGTAATCCTCATGCAACATAGTAGTGGCAGGTTATCTGACAAAAATGGGAAAAATAATTTCAATAAATCTTTCACAATTTACCCTTGGCTACTTCTGGCTTGATTAAGTTTATTCAACCTCAATCATGGAAAAAACAATCATAAATTTATTTTCATTGAAAACAATTAAAACACTTGACCTAAAACGCGAGGCAGTCAAAAGATACAACTGACATTTTTACTATTGCATTAATGTTACCTTTGTAAGGTTTAAATGTAAAGGTTTTATCTTTCATGTCCCACGGTGCAATACGCCTGACGATCTAAGCACGTGACTGTTTTTTGGTCCGGCTGTTGCCTTAATGTAAATAATTTATAAATCATTACGTGGGTGGAACATTTTAGAATGAATCGATTGATGGGAGCGGTTTTAGAGACACTTTTAACAATAATTGGAGTTTTAAAGATTTTTGCAATGTGTGCGAACTATATTTCGAATGCAAATCGCTGTCAGCAGCGTTTGCAGAACAAATGTCCTGTCGCTTTGAGAAGTGCTGTGTATTTAAGGAGGTGCTGCATTTTTAAGGAATCGACTGTGATAAATTTAGACTTCACCTTTAATCCATTTTCATATTAATTCTGGCTTAATTTTTCTCCCTTGAAATGGAATTTCTTGCGTTCATTCAATCGCTTATAACATGAAAGATTTTTCGTTTTCTTTTTACTGCCTCGCACCTTTCATCTCAACAATACGGACTATTTTAAACGCAAGTCTTCTCAGTCATCAAAATTGCTGCTGTAACTGGGAAGGTCCTTTAAGCACTTCTGAGCTCTGGACATTCTGAAATAATGGTGAGGAGAGTCAGAAATGAACACCTGTCTTTCCCTACGTTTTTTTTTTGGTTACGGATAACGTTGCCCAATCGAATCCACTTCTAACTACTGCCGTCACCACTGATGTTCCGTCTGCTCTAACTCTTTTTGTATGCTGTTGCACCTCTGGTAGGAAACGAGAATTTATCATCTACAATTTTTGTTCGATTATTGATATTGCTTAATAGCTTTCTTTTCAAAGCTTCCTTTTGTCCGTTCTTGTTTGCACAGTTTTAGTTTCCTGTTCTAATTTTTCATGTCTCAGGACTTAGCTGTGGACCCCGTGATTGTTCGTTTCCTCTTGCAGTTTTAAAATATCTGAGGAGGGGGACGTTTTTGTAGTCAGTTTATAGTTTTGAACCGTTCGTCATCTTTAGGTTATTAATATAAAGAACTTCCTTATTTGGCTCACTTGAAGAGCAGCTTTTTGCCCCTTTTTCTGTTGTTTGGAGGAGAAGCCGTTTTTCCGTTATCTCAAATTGATTTGAAGTAATCAAAAGGAGCGCAAGCTGAATTCTGTGCGTTTAAAGCAAAGTGCAACACCAAATCTAAAATTAACACTCCAGCTGATGATAGTGCTGCCACTATTAGCTACAGGGGCGGGATGAGTGACCGGAAGACAGGGAATTTCCATTCACAATATTGTCGAGAGCCGGTCGGGAACTCGAGCGCCACTCTCAGGAGCTGTAGTTACGGCGTCGGCTATTTTTTTTCCCTTTTAGTATCGGTGCTAACAGATCTCTTTGACTAAGCGACGCTGACCTATTTTGACATGTTCAGTCGTAGCTCGAAAAAACGAAACTCGAGCAAAAGGGTGAGTATTTTGACTTGAGCTGCGTTGTTATCGCGTACTCAATTTCACCTTGCGCGCTCGTGTCTTGCGCTACCCTTCTTCCCGACCCCAGCCGCGGACATTACCGGGACTGAAACATCCTGCAAAGATTAGGAGGTCGTCTGGTTACAGTGCAACGTCGTCACTGCTGTAATTGATTGGCCTGTTTTTTTTGGAATGAAGGGCGCGCACGTCGAATTTGAGAACCACGCAATAGGAATGGGCTGCATAGAAAGTAATGTTCGAACCTTGTGCCCTACCTTTCTGTTTTGCTTGCGCTAGCAAGTTGTTAACGCCATGGTGTGAACCTTTTCATGTGCTCACCTTTCACTGGTTTGCTTTTGTGTATTCGGTAAATAGGCATGAAATGCGAGTCAAGTTCTAAGAACTGGCAGTTGCTTAGGGAGTAGTACAGTACGTCAATCAGATAGGGTTGTCTGGGACTGCTTCAATTGTGAATTGTAATGATCCCATTAAAATGTCTGGGAAGCGGAAAGAGATCCCATTGCGCGCACAGTACGTGCAAATTGTATTTTTGAGATGTGATTACATTATTCTTGTTAAACTGTTTGCACTCTTGCTGCGAGCTTTGCAAAAGGAAATGCTTATTATTAAAACATACCGTTGCTTCACATTTTTAAGGTATAAGATGTTAAAGTCGGAACTTTAACGTAGAGGTCCTTTTAATTGCATTTTGGAAAATTATAAAAAAAAGTTCGATAACTGTTTAGAAGGAAATCACTATTCCAATAATCAATTTCCATATATACAGATCGCACCTTGCGTTGAGTGATAAAATTCATTTTCCCTTTCAAGTCCCTTTTACATTCATTAATTAGCCTTTCAAGATGGAGTCCTTGAAATTTGAGGATTAGTAGTCAATATGTACCAAGCTGGAGGTAAAGAGTTTAAATAATCCAAATTGATCAGGAATATAGAATTTAAAATTCAAGGTGGTAGGAACCTCAATCAAGAATGAAACTTACTTGAATTTGGCTAAAAGAAATTGTCATTACTAACATAGTTATGTCAGTGACTTCAAGAAGCCCTTTTTAAAGGTCGTTACAACATGTTCATTTTTTTGTAAAAAGACTGTTTTAATGGATGAATCAATTTCACTTATGCCTAAATATTTTGCTTCTGAAGTTGAAGTGAGTTTGTTTTGTTGAACTCTTTTTTTTGAATTAATCTGTCTAGCTAAATGGCTGTCTTCTATTTGCTCTGACTTCCCAATACCTGTACTTTGATAATCTTACTCTTTCTGGAAAATTTAATTGTTGACTATTGCCATTTATAGCTGAAGTTTAGCAGAACTCATTTAAACTCTTTTCATTAGTAGTCTTTGCTGTTATTGCATGACTTTTTAACAACATTAATATTTAAAATGAGTTCTGCATTTGTTTTCCTGATTTTTATCTCCACTTCTCAGGAAAGAATAAATTCCTTTCATTTGTGCCTTTCCCTTAATGGGCTCAGGGCTAAGTAATGTCAAGAGATATATTCCTAGATAACAGCAATCTAATTGTCTTGAGGTACAGGGTAAGGATATTTGTTTGCCGCTAGTTCATATTTAGTTAAATAAAGAAATGTGGAAGGAGGCCATTCAGTCTGTTGTGCAATGCCAGCTATCTGCAAGAAAGCAAAGCAATTAATCCAATTTCCTCCCTTGTCTCTCCAGGTCTGCATTTTTCCTTTTTTTTGAAAGCTAGAGTTGAATCTTCTGCCACACTCTAAAGCAATTAAAATAATCTCTATAATTTTTAATCCTAACTACTGCATGTGTTGGGGGAGTGGGGTGGGGAGGGTTGGAGGAAGTACTCATTTCATCTTTGGTTATTTTATTCTCTCTCTATTGGTGTTTTATGGGTCTTGCCTGTTCTGTCAAAGGAGACAATTTCTCTCTATCTGCTCTGCCCAGAACCCTCATGATTTTGGAAACCACTATCACATCTCCTCTTCACTGTTTCTGCAGGAAGGGAAACTGGTCTAGCTCCTTTTAAACTATTAAAATAATTTGAACTCTGTCATCCTTGGAGCCATTCCTTTTTTAAATCTTTTCTCTATCTTTTTAAAAAACCTTCACTTCTTCCTGAAGGATTTTTGTTTCTAATAATTGGTTGAATTGATTGACATGTATAAGCCTATTCCCGTGCACACTTTTTGAACAAAGGCCTAGCACTTCTTTCCTTCAGTTCTCTGGTGCCAATACCTCCACAATATCCTCCCTTGTCTCAGTATCATTGCATCTCGTTTGGTCCTGCTGAGTTTTCAATTTCAGATCAAATTAATTTTTAGGCCATCCAGTGTCTCCATTACCACCTCTTTCACAGTAACTTCAACTGCATCTTCGTTGGTAAGGATAAAAGCAAAATACTAATTTAGCAAATTTCTTTTCTCTTTCTTTACACCTTATGCTTTCATTATACATTCCACCTCCTCATCTTTTTCATCATCCAAGGAGTGTTGGCTTTGCTTGTTCCACCTTTCTGTTTGCCCCCAAGCCCCCACAATGTACGTTGTCATGACCTACCCATCACCTCTTGTCAGCAGTTTATAGTTCTATATAATTCTGTATATTTCCAATCTACCTGAGCAATACTTGTTGCCACTCCATTTAAACTGGCCTTCATCCAGTAAAGTATTTTTACTTTAGATTGTTATGGACTAGGATTAGGAAGAAACGTAACCTTGTGATACTATGACCACTGTTCCGTAAAAGTTCCCCTATTGTCACTTGATCCACCTCATTTTTCAGAACCAGATCTAGCACAGAAACACTGACCAAGAAAATTCTCGTGAAGACAGTATTAAAAACTATTTCCCCTTTGGCCTATACTGTTATGTTTCCAGTTAATATTAGGGACAATTAAAGTGCCTCCTCCCCCCAATATCAGTATAATGTTTGCATGTCTCTTCAATTTCCCTGTAAATTTACTTCCTTGTGTTTTTTTCTATTACTTTGTGGCCAATACTTTTTCTCACAACACCTTTCATGCAGCACTTTTCACAATCTTGGGATGTTTCAAAATGCCTCATAGCCAATCATGTAACTTTGAAGTGTTTTTGTAAAAAGAGAATGATCATGATCACTTGGGGTTGTGAAACTTAACTGCAAGGGGCATTTCAGCCAATTAAAAGGGTATCTTTGACAGTCTATTTAATATTTTGTGCTTTTAAGTCTTTACTAAATTATGTAATACAATAGAAAACTATTTACATCTTGATTCATATTATTTTTCAGCTCTCTGCAGTGGATGACCCAGAGAAAGGGCAGCCCTGTAATGCATGTGGAGACCGGTGTCCTGGGTTAGCATTACATAATTGGAGGTATTAATACTTTTTTAAACAGATGCTTATAAATAAGCCGCCTATTTGTTATAATTGCATAATCTTGTTTGTCTTTTATAATGCAGTTCTATTCCTGGGTTTTTAGAGTAAATGGGAGTGTATGTGAAAATTGTCTAAAGTGAACAGTTCCTTTTTTTTCAACATTTTGTTTTCTGACTTTGGATATGTGCTGTTCTTTACTGTCTATACTGAAGTTAAATTTATTGTGAGGAAGTAACTGAAGATATTTTATTTAGTGAACTATAGAAGCTGTGTAAAGACTGCTGTGGTTGACTGTTTGATTGCACCACAGAAATCTAAATACGGGCTGGTGTAGAAGGTTTTTAACCCTTTGTTTTTGCACACCTTAAAGTGTGTAATATTGTTACTTTGAGATAATGAAAAAGCATTAAAATTTTTGTTCAGTTTTTAATAAAGAATTTACTGTTTTCCAAGGAGTTGTGAATTATGGACAATAGTGGCTAATTATATTCACCATTGGGGTGACATTTGAGCTGTAAAAGAATACCAGGAAGTTGTATCTTGAAAAAGAGCAAATACTGCATATTTGTATTGTGATCTGTTCTGCATTGTATCACTTCAGTTGTAGTGTGGGTTATTGGATACCTGCTAAATATACATGGATTGTATTTGTGTATATTTCGGTAACACATGAGATAAGTGAGGAAAATAAATTAGCAACCCAGCTCTTGCAGTTACCATAACTATAATTGGACCAGCTGGCACGTCTTTTTATAGTACTGGGCAAATATGTAACTACAGTAGCGTAACTTTTTTTTGGCTTTAAATATGTAGGAATCATCTGAGAAAGTAACTGTAAATGGAGAGGAACTTCAGAGTGCTTCAGTGCAAAGGGATCTGGATGCCCTCATGCCAGAATGGAATTTTGGCATTTATTGCTAATGTAGTAGAGTCTAAAAGTAACAAAGTGTTTGTGTACTTGTACAAGGCTTCAGTGAGACCTCCCTTACTTGAGGAGAAATGTGGTTGCATTGAAGGAAGTTCAGAGGAAATTCAGTAGATTAATTCTAGAGCTGAGGGATTTGTCTTGTAAAGAGAGATAGAGCAGTTTAGGTATATACTCTGTAGTGTTCAGAAGAAATGAGAGGAGGTCTAATTGAGGTGTGTAAGATGCTAAAGGGGTTGACAAAGTATACGTCGAAAAGCTATTCCTGTGTGGGGCAATCAAGAATGAGAGGTTGTAGTTTTAGGATAAGGGTTAACCGGTTTAAAACATGGATGAGGGGAACTTACTTCTCTCAAAAGTTCATGAATCTGTGGAATTTACTACCCAGAGTGAATGAACATCAGGACATTGAGTAAATTTGAGGAGAGACAGATTTTTAATAAGCAATGGGTTGAAGAGTAGTGGAGACTGGGCAAGAAAATAGAGTTGAAGCTCAGATGAGATCAGTCATGACCATATTAACTTGATGAGTAGGCTCTGGGGCTGAATAGCCTGCTCCTGGTCCTGGTTCTTATGTTTTGAATTTTTGAAGTCCGAGGCCATTGCGTATGTTCTAAAAGATTCCAATCTACTGTGTAAGATTTCATAACCATATATGTTTATACCTTCACACTTTTTTTGGTGGACCTTTTGGGCATCTAATTGCTTCGCACTAGTTGGAATTTGGGAAGTGATTACTACATTTTAATGGATGGCTTTCTTGAGCCAAGGATCAATGCAATGCTACACTAGTCTGTGCTGTAGACAATAGACCTTCCCTTTACTCAGCATTTCTATTTCTGTTCTGTTAGAAATGAGCTAATCATCTGAAATCTTTCATCCTTAATTCGAACTCTATTCTGTGGCATGTGTATCTCTTCTCTAAATTTCCTAGTCAATCTAAAATTAATCTAATATTTATATTAAAAAGCCCTAATGTGTTCACAAAATAATGCAGACAAAATATTGAGTCTGTTTATGGTTGAGTTCAGTCAAGATTTCTATGACATAATTTTTTAAAGAACATCCGGCTATAAACTGCTGTTCATGTTTTACATTTCTACCTTATTTTAAATGGTATTGTTGGGGAGGGGAGTAGGCAGTTAAGTGTTTTTTTTTTTTTTTTTTATTCATAATTCACGTCAAATTTATGATGTAATTGTTTTATTTATTGTCATGTGTACCAAAATACAGTGAAAAGCTTTGTTTACGAGCGGTACAGGCAGATCATAATAAGCAATGCTTGTACAGATCAAAAAGACTTCGAGGCATACAGGTTACATTGCACAGGGTGTGGGCTAGGCGAGATCAGTGTTAGTGAGATCAGCATTATTTGAGGCGAGAGAGTCCATTCATCAGTCTGATAATGGCCAGGAAGAAACTGTTCCTGAACCTGCTTGAGCGTGTGTTCAACTTCTGTACCTTCTGCCTGCTGGAACAAGTTGTAGGAGATTGTTACTGAGGTGTGATTGGTCTTTGATGATGTTGGCAACCTTTCTGCAGCAGTGAGCCATGTAAATGGAGTTCATGGATGGAAGTTTGGTTTCCGTGATGGTCTGGGACATGCGCACCACCTCCTGTAGTTTCTTCCAGTCCTGGACAGAGCATTACCATACCAGGCTGTTATGCACCTGGACATTATGCTTTCAGTGGTGCATCTGTAGAAGTTGGTGAGGGTCCTAATGGACATGCCAAATTTCCTGAGCTGCATGAGGAAGAAGAGGCATTATTGTGCCGCTTTGACTGTTGCAATTACATCTATCTCCCTTCTATAGTTTGATTTGTTGTTAGATATCTGTCCCACTATGGTGGTGTCATCAGGGAATGTGTAGATGATGTTCCTTCTGAATTTGGTGACACAATCGTCGGTGTAAGGGGAGTACAGTAAGGGGCTGAGGACACATCCTTGGGGGGGCTCCAGTATTGAGTGTTATTGTGGAGGAGGTGCAGTTACCTATCTTCACTGATTGCGGCCTGTGGGTCAGAAATCTGAGGATCCAGTTACAGAGGGCAGAGCTGATACCAAGGTCATGGAGTTTTGAGATCAGTCTGGAGCGGATAATGGTGTTGAAGGTGGAACTGTAGTTGATGAGCAGAAGTCTGACGTAGGTGTCTTTGATGATGTTCCACGGATGAGTGCAGGGCTAGGGATGTGGCATCCGCTGTGGGCTCGTTCTGTCGTTAGGCAAATTGCAGGGGATCGAGGTTGACCGGGAGACTGGAGTTGATGTGGGCCATGACCAGCTTCTCAAAGCACTTCATGATTATTGAGGTCAGAGCCACCGGGTGGTAGGCATTAAGGCACATTGCCGATTCCTGAAGGAACCAACACACCCCGATTCTACAGCCTCCCGAAAGTACGCAAGCCGGAAGTACCCCTTAGACCCATAGTCTCCCTACCAGGCACTCGATCACACAGATCAGCCAAGGAACTACAAAGGAGACTCGGGCACCTAGTCAACAAGCACCCCACTCAATCCACTCAGCCCAAGAATTCCTCAACTCCAAAGACAAAAGGATAGATGACTAGGAGACCATGATATCGTTTGATGTCACTGCCCTAGTCACATCAATAGACATACCAGTAGCAAGAGAAACAATGACAGCACTACTGGAACAAGAGCAAGACCCCAGTGAAACCATCTGCACAGACAACATGCTCAAACTACTGGACCTATGCCTCACCACCCACTTCACTTTAAACAGCCAAACACACGAACAAATCAACGGGACACCCATGGGATCACCTATCTCCAGGCTCATAGCAGAGGCAGTGATGTAAAGACTAGACAGGACAGCCATTCCTCTAATCCAACCAAAACTATGGATATGCTACGTGGACGACACCTTTGTCATCGTTAAATGGACCAAACTGGAGGAGATACACAAACTTTTATAAACAGCACCCTCATTGGAATAAAATTCACCAGGGAGGAGGAGAAGAACAAACATCTCCCATTCCTAGACATCATGGTAGAGCGCAAGGCAAATGGGGAACTCCAAACGGAAATACACAGAAAAGCCACACACATGGACCAGGTACTGAACTTCAACCGTAACCATCCCCCCCACACACACAAACGAAGCTGTGTGCGAACTCTATTTAAATGGGCAGCAACAAAGAACTACGCCAAGAGGAAGAAGAATACCTCTTCCAGGTTTTCAAGGATAATGGATATCCAAAAAACTGGGTCAGAAGATGCCTACACGAACAACATCAGGAAGATACTGCACGCCCCGACACCCTACATCAGGAACACATCGGAACTAACCACAAGACTCCTACGACCGCTGGGCATCAGAGTGGCGCACAAGCCCACATCAACCCTATGACAACTGCTCACCCGAATTAAAGACCCACTCCCCGCCATGGACAGGACCCAGTGTCATCTATAAGATCCACTGCAGAGACTGAGAAACACTACATTGGACAAACAAGAAGGAAACTAACAACAAGGGTACATTAACACCAACTGGCTACAAAAAGACATGACCAGTACTCGCTCATCTCAATCCACATGGAAAAGGAGAACCACCAATTCGACTGGGACAACGCCAAAATCCTGGGACAAGCTAAGCAGAGTCAGACATGGGAATTCCTAGAAGCCTGGTACTCCATTAAGAAAGCCATCAATAAATACCTAGAACTCGACTCCATATACACTCCACTACGAAGGAAAACCGGAAGTGAGGCAATCCAGCTCAACGGACTCCAGAGTTTAAAAACCAGGCGGGAAAACATACTGAGACTTCATCGGAGGCTGCACTGATGTTACCTAGCAGGGTAATGAAACGTCTGCGGAACAACAAACCAGCTCGGCGAGCCAACCAACCTCAATACCTCTATCAGTTGGTCCACATAGGATCCAATTGCTTGGCTAGCGACACCGTCCGGACCCATCGCTTTCCTTGGATTCACTCCCAGGAAGACGATCTGACATCTGAAGCGATGATGGAGGGAACAGGTGTGTCTGGGGCTGTCAGGGCAGCTATGACCGTGCCACTGGCATTCTGCTCAAACCGAGCATAGAAA